TGCTAGTGTAACTAGACATTTTTTGGAGAAAAAAAAACTTGCTTCACTTTCTAGAAATGTTCCAAACTATTTTTAAATTGTACTTTCTGTCTCAATTGYGTAATGAAATATGAAGAGGAAGTTCCATGTTTCTGAATAAATATATGTTATATAGCAACTTTACTGTGGATATTGTGATTACTATGCATGGCTTACCACAAATACATTGGCTTTATAAAGATAATAACGCAACGCTAAATGTTGTCAGGTTCCGGAGGGTGTGAGGCGGGAACGAACGTAGTAGGAAAAAAGGGAAGGGAAGGACCAAAATGCAGAAACTAAATATTGTTTAACAAAAAGTGTCTTTTATTTAAAAGGTAAATGTAACAAAAGAAATCTTCAAGAAACAAAAGTCACACTCAAAAGCAGGCGTGGAACAAGGAAGGACAGGAAACAACTTACGGGGAAACGTGACGAGAGCTGACGGGACACATGAACAGACAGAACCATGACGACGACGACGAACCAACAACCACATGGGGGAAACACAAAGACTATATACTGACTGGAACTAATTAGTAACTGGGGACAGGTGGCACAAGACAAACAGGTGAAACTGATGAGGGCAGGAAGTCAATAAATGAAAACACACAGGGAGCAAGGACTACAAAATAAAACAGGAAACACTGAACAAACTTATCAACGAGAACAAAATACAATAACCAAGACAGGGATGAACACGGGAGAGGCACAGGGTGAAACATAGCGAGGGACAAGGAGGGGAACACAGGAGAGGGACACAGAGAACAACACAGGAGAATCACAGGGTGGAACATAGTGAGGGACAAGGAGGGGAACACAGGAGAGGGACACAGAGAACAACACAGGAGAAGCACAGGGTGGAGCACAGAGGAAGGCAGAAGGGAACATGAGAGGAACACAGGAGGGAACATGAGAGGAATGTAGAAAAATACATAACCGTGACAAAATACACCATTACGTGACAGAATACGATACCAGTGACAGAAAACACCATAACCATGACCAAATAAAACCATAACCGTGACAAATGTTGTGGGTCAGACTTATTAAAGTGTCCGTGATTTATAGACACAGCACATGAAAATGGAGAAAATATCTACATCAATTTGGTCACACATACAGTATGTGGCATCACAAAAATGTGCTGCAAATACTCACAAGACAACCAAATCCGTAAAACACAACAGAACTGTATGCAGTGAAATTTGAACCACCTTTACTTGGCGGCTGTGGCCGATGGGTAGATCAGTTGTCCTCCAACCATGAGGGCAGAAATTTAATCCCAGCCTTCCCCATCTGCATGTCCAAGTTTCCTTGGACAAGATGCGAATTGCCAAATTGGTGAATAGCAAACCTGTACTTTAAAGGTACAGTGTGTAGAATTTTGTGAGATGTAGTGTTGAAATTTCATGTTGCAGCTGAACACCCCTCACCCCACCCTCTCCTTCCAAACACGACAGAGAACCTGTGGTAGCTTCAGTTGTCATAAAAACTCAAAAGGTGTTTAGTTTGTCCAGTCTGGACTAATGTAAAAACATGGCTGCCTCCGTAGAGAGGGTCCCCTCGGTATAAATATAAAGTATTTAAATATAAAGGGTCTTTTCTGGAGTAAAGAAAACTACAATTCATACAATTTAGATGAAATGAACTAGTGAAAACATCATGAGGATTATTCTACATTCAATTTCTGCCAATAGTTCCCTTTCACCTAAATCTTACACACTGGAC